CATCCATTTGATATAATTTAAATAATAGATACATAAGCAAGAAGTAAGCGTATTGCCTCTAACCTGGCAATTGGAGCATATGTTTCATCATAATCAATACCTTCTTCTTTACTATATCCTTGTGCCAAGCGACAAGCCTAGCTTTGTTCTTGGTAATGTTTCCATCGTCATCATATTTGTTTCTGAATACCCATTTTGTTCCTATTACTTGACGAATGTCTTTTCTAGGAATCAATTCCCATACTTGATTTCTTTCAAAATGGTTTAGTTCTTCTTGTATTGCTATACATCATTAATCCTCTTGAAGAGATTCTTTTACATTATAGGTTCTAGCTGTGAGACAAAAGCCACAATCATGCAATAATTTACTATATTTTTCCTAGTACTTAACTATTTTGAGACATCTCTGATAATATTGTCTAGTGATAATCCTCGAGGTTGTTTCCAGGTTTTGGTTAAATATTCCGGTTGAGGATGTTTACTACTTTGCTCTTCATTTGTTGTCTTTTGCAAGTCTTCTCTTCACCTGCATTTGATTTATCTGACTTGAGAGGTTTTTCCTCAAGGTCCACAATTTCATCAAAGATAACATGTATAAATTCTTCTATTTCAAATGTTTTCTGATTAAAAACTCTATATGTTTTACTTGTAAGAGAATATCCTAGAAAAATAGCTTAATCGAATTGGAATCAAATTTTTCCAAATTTTGTTTTCCATTATTTAATCCAAAACAACTATATCCAAATATTTTCAAATGTGAAACAATAAGCTTTCTTCCTTTAAACAATACATAAGGAGTTTCAAAATAGGTCTAGTAAGCTTTCTATTTAAAGCACAACCAACAATATTCATAACATCAGCCCAAAAATGTTTTGGAATTTTAGATTTGTTCAACAAAGTGCTAACAAATTCTTTTAAAGATCAATTCTTTCTTTCTACGACTACATTTTGTTGAGGAGTTCTAAGTGTAGAAAAGTTATGAGAAACGTCATGTTCGTCACAAAAAAATTCAAAAGATTCATTTTGAAATTCACCTCCATGACCACTTCTAATAGCTTTTATTTTTGAATCCTTTTCATTTTGAATTTGATTTACAAACTTTTTAAATACTTTAAAATTTTCAATTTTAAGAGTACTAAAAAATGTCAATGTATATATTGAATAATCATCTACTATAACTAAAATATAATAATTTCCTCCAAAACTTTTTATTCTAGAAAGACCAAATAAATCCATATGCAAAAATTCTAAGTGTTTTAAACTTAAAACAATGTTTTTCGAATGAAAAAATAAATTTTACCTATTTTCCCTTTTGACATGCAACACATAATTTATCATATACAAATTTTAGTTTTGGTAGACCAATTACTAAATCTTTATACATAAGGTTATTCAATTGTTGCGATTGAATATGAGCAACCCTTTTATGGGCACAAACATGAATTTTCTTCTTTCATTACTAAAGATGAAATATTTTTACTAGATGCATTTTCTACATATATCATGCTTAACACCTTTCAAATCAGTTTCAGATGAATCATTTCCATGAATAGTGCAAAAATTTTGTTCAAAGGTTACCTTGAGTCCTTTGTCATAAAGTTGACTTATACTGAGTAGATTGTGCTTCAATCCTTCTACAAGCATTACGTCTTTTATCATCAAGGTATCTACACTTCCAATGTTTCCTAATCCAAGAATTTTGCCCTTATTGTTACCACCATATGTAATAAAGCATTATTCCATTTTCCAGAAGTTTGTAAATTTCTTCTTATCCCTGGTCATGTGTCTTAAACATTTGTTAAGATACCACATGGACTTCCTAGATTTTGAATGTACCTGCAAAATAAAAAGAACAAGTTATTTAGGTACCCAACAACTTTGTATGGGTCCTTTAGGTTAGACCGAAATAATTTGAATTATTTTAAAACCTAAGTAAATCTCCCATATAGGTTGATACCGATAACCAGAAATGGGTCAAACTAAACTTGACAAGTGTATTTGAAGGATATTAGGAGTGGTAAATAATACTGCGAACCAGAAGTAGGTGATACTCGATACTAGTCACAATGACGGGGATGATTAAGCTTGACTAGTGTAATCAGGAGTGGTAAAAATACTCACATGTATTTCATTGAAAATCTAGTGAAACCCTCTAAGTTACCTTAGAGAAGAACTGGACGTAGCTTAATTCCCTTAGACGAAAACAAAATCCTCACATACTCACCTATTAATAGACACCCTCTTCTCTAAAGATTCACTTCCTCCTAAATGACAGGAAGATAAGCTAAAATAAAGACCATGAACTTTTCCACCAGAACAACGTTTTTAGGGCAACGATTAAGTAGCTTATGTGGATCATTCAACCTTCAACGACTACGATCAAAACATCAACTGCGAAAAGATATATGGAAACACTATTCAACCCCCCTTATAATGTTTCTCGTCACTTTAGTGGTGGCCTATACTGCTCTACAAAAACATTGCCAATGAGTTTCACCCTACTACATACAAGGTTAGTCCGTTAACACCTTAGACCAAGATAAAGCCCTAGACTAAGACATCATGCTCCTCTCACCACATACCCCACCCTTACATCAATACACACACAACTTGAAACCATACAAGAAACTTCTCCTTGAAATTTCTTTCACAACATACTTTATATATAGAAACAGTCATAATATACTTAATGAAACATCACAAATTCACACTAAACATACCTAGCATCCATATAAACCCACTTCACATAAGTAAGGATCTTAAAATCATAGTAAAACACACTAACACTCAAATTTGGTATTCTTAACTTAATGTTTGGTCCAAAAACATGCTTTAATGTCAAAGGGAATACAACTTTACTCAATTAGCTAGTTCCTCAATTCATCAACTCAACTTCAATTTCAAGCAACACATAAATACATTTCATACCAAATTTCAACATCAATTTCACTAACTAAAACATCAATTTCATCAATAATAAACAACAAAAAACAAGAACTCATTCAACAAGCAATCACAACAAAGTTTTCCCATACTAGACTACCAATCTTAGATTAAATTCAAAAATGCATCATATACTAGAAACATATCAATAACTTTAAAATTTAGTAGTTAGCTTTCCTTACTTGATTCTTGTTCGATGATCAATCTATTTTAAGGAACCTAGAATGACTAACAACTCAAGAAACTTTATCTGCTCCTACAAGCCACAAAACAATGATTAATGTATATCGTTAGTACCACTAATCAACATAGAGTCTTATAGAAGACTCAGATGACACATACAAAGAACAACAACTCACATGCACAGGAAAACACACAAAATAAAGAAAATAGCATAACTAACTTACTCTTATACGGAAACTGATTGAACAAACTTGAAAACCTCACTTTAGTGATCACTTAGGTACTCTCTGATATTCAAACAGTTGTACTATGGTTTAAAAGACTTAAAAAGAGGGAAAAAGGCTCTTAGAGAACAATTTCTAGAAAGATGGTATTTTTCTATATAATGAAACTTGTTAGTTGAAATTCTATTTATACTTTTGAACTTTTAATATTAAAATAAACGAGTCTCGTTATTTAGAATACACTATCATATCTAATACACGATTTTCTAGATTCTTACAAATAGATAGATGATAGTTATAAGGAATTTTCTTTTTGGGGATATGTTTCTTCCGAAAATAGTGTTGTTGGAAATTCCATTTTTATGCACCATCTTATATAAAATCAATATTTTTACCCATACACAAATAAACACACACACATAAACAGACACACATATACACATACAAACACACATGCACACACGAAGGTACACATACAAACACACATGCACACACAAAGGTACAAATACACAAACACAAACACGTACACACAAACACAAACATACAAACATAGACACAAACACGAACACACATACATATAAACATACAAAAAATACAAAAATGCATTCATACATAAGCACAGACACAAACAAAAACACATATGCACACACAGACACAAACACACCTACACACATAAACATGTGTACACACACAAACACAAACATAAACACAGACACAAATACAAACACACATAAACACAAACATATATACACAAAAAAATATATACATGTGTTTTACATATATGTAAGATATTATATTAAAAATATATACAAGATATATGACTAACTTTTGATATTAAAAGGTGATACAGATAATTTAATCCTTAAAGTAATAATAAATTTGATTTAATCTATTATAAATTTTAATAAAATATTCTTAATTTAATGTCAAACTAACCTTTAAAATGATATTTTGATGATACAATATTCTTACAAAACTTCTTATAATAATAGTAATAATAATTTTACGATTTAATCTCTCACATGTAAAAAAATATTAATATTATTTAATTCCTAAATGTGATCATTTAATAGTAAATTTAATTCTTACTTAACCTTTACATTTTTCTAGTAATAAATCGTACGAAACAAATCACAAAAATAACAAAAGAAATATTGTGGGACTTTTTACCATTCCTAATGCTTACATTAAAAAATAAAGGGTTAAATATGTTTTTGATCCCTTAACTTTTAGTGAAAATTGGAATTAGTCCCTCTTCAAAACTTTGCACTAATTTAGTCCCCAAACTTTAGAAATGTGTGAATTTAGTCCTTTTAACCAAATTTTGTTAACTTTATTTGATGTTTCAAACGCATTTCTCAGTTAACATTGAAGCAAAAATATGTCAAATGGTATAAACAACTCAAATGCTATCATGAAAGGCACTTGAAACATCAAATAAACCTAACAAAATTTAGTTCAAAGGACTAAATTCACACATTTTTAAAGTTTGGGGACTAAATTAGGCCAAAGTTTTGAAGAGGGACTAATTCCAAATTTCACTAAAAGTTAAGGGATCAAAAACATATTTAACCCAAAAATAAAATGGTTTATTTGCCAATAGTATATATATTATCTGAAATATATACATGAATCAGAGTCCCTCGGTCTGATTTGGCACCATATCAAAACGCGATTCTCACCTCAGAACGCGAATCCAAACGCGCTTCCATTTGCGTTTCCAATTCCATTCATGAAGCGAAGAAAGTCGGTGACGTTCGCCAGAGCCTAAAACGTCTTCGTTTTTCGGACAGCGGAAGGTGTTTCTTCTCTGCCACATTTTCGTTCCATTGTATGTGACATTGTTCTGTCTCTTTCTCTCTGAGAGTAACTCAAACACCAATGAGGCAGTACAAGCAGGTTTCAGCCCTTAACCGACGACCCACCATCCTTTATCTGGTGTGCGCGGTTGCATTGTTCTCCCTCCTCCTCTTCTACATCCAATCCTCTCTCTTCGCAGGTATTATCACCGTAACCACACCACACTTGGAATATCAATCATTCTAATTCTGTTTTCTTAATTTCCGTTTAAATTCGCATGTTCAGGGTCCCTTTCTTCGGCTCGCAAATCCGAAATTATCCGCGTCTTGTCTAACTTTCAGTCCAGTGTTCAGCAATGTGTGGTAACTGTTCGATCTGAAACATTTCTCTCTGATGAATAATACTGATGTGGTTATTTATTCATCGTATCATTTCTTAATATTATTGATGTGTAACTATGGATACACTCACTTCCAATTCTGATAGAACAATCACATAAAAAACATATAAGCATCTGAATCCAAGTCTTGTGCTTTTATTTTTTTAAAAGGATAGAATATAGTTGTGTTAAGATATGTGCTGACGTTGGAAATTGAAACAAGATAAGAGGGGGCTAGGACTCACTGCTCATATAATTGACCATTGTAATTTGATCCTGAAATACCCTGAAGATACCAACAGCTCTTGGGTATGTCTTTCTGTCTTCTCAATTCTGAGTTCTGAGAACTCTTATTTTTTTAATGTTTCGTTAATGGTTAAACTGTTGAGTTTCTTTTTTTTTTCAATGTTTAAATTATTGAAGTACAACGCACAGTTTAAGCACTTTGAGCCGTTGGAGTACAAATATGATGTGTGTGAGGCAATCCTGTTGTGGGAACAGGTGCATTGTAATGACACTCCTTTTGTTCCTGTTTCATTTGAAGTTTCAGAATGAGTATTTACTTGGGCGGATGTGTTGAGATGTTGCAGTATCGGAACATAACAACTGTGTTGACCAGAGAGTATCTTGATTCTCGACCTGGTGGTTGGATGGATTACGCTCCACAAAGGATAGCACAGTTGTATGGATCTTGAAACTTAATTTCAATTTTGTTTATTGGGTTGCATGTGTTATCAGTTAGTGTATGTGTGCAAATGCCTTTTCTTCTTGTAGGGGGACAAAGAAATGCAGCAACAAGACTCTTTGTGAAGAGAACCTCAATGTGTTATTACCTGCAAAGCCCCCATTTCACCCACGACAGTTCCGAACTTGTGCTGTTGTTGGGAATTCTGGGGACCTTCTGAAGACTACATTCGGGAAAGAAATTGAAAGCCATGATGCTGTTATTCGGGAGAATGAGGCCCCTGTTAATGAGGTAAACATGTCAACCCATCATAATGGGGTTTAACAATTTCTTCTTTCATTTCTGTTTTCTTGAAATCCTGTTAGTTTATCCAAAGCATAGATGAAACAACAACCTGCTTCTGCAATATCCAACAATTATATTATTACTTCTGAACAAGATCCCAAAAAGTGATATAGTATTAGAGTTTGTAGTGTATTTATCCGATAGGCTATTAAAAGAGTCGCGGATACTTATTTTGTCCCTTTATGGATTGTGTAGGAATATGCCAAATATGTTGGTCTTAAGAGGGATTTCCGTCTAGTTGTCAGAGGTGCTGCGCGTAACATGGTCCCTATTCTAAACGGATCTGGTAAGTTATTATTTTTTAAATATTTAAACAGAGATGCAAAACTTCTGTTGAAATTTTGGGACATGTTAATCTATCCAGTGTGAAATATAGCTTTAATTTTCTATTAAAGATTTGGCATGCAAAACATCACTATAGAACAAAGACATCCTTGTCAATTGAATCTCCATATATTTGTAATGTGTCAAAAAGTATATAAAACTAGAAAAATAAAAATTACCAACAAAAACATGAAGGGGCTAGGTCAAACCTCAAAATAACATAATCAAAAAAATCTAAACGCAAGTAACCCGTACTTGTTCCTAGGAAACTTTCCCTAATAAATTATGGCATAATATCAAACAAATAAAACTCAATTTTTTTGTTCAAAACCATAGTTGGCAAGTTTATCAAGACTATATTACCCTCTATAAGTATGATATAGAAAAAAAAATGCATAGAAGAACAAAGTTGAAGACATCTTATGATGTAGAAAAAAAATGCATACAAGAACAAAGTTGAAGACATCTTATCTATCTCCCTTGGATTTGCCATGGTACAGGATGAACATCCTTTGGAGCTTCAATCACAAGATTTGAATCTCATTCCTACCAAATTTGCTTCATTTCCTTCAATATGCTTGTTTGATAGGCTATGATAGCAGCCATGATCTCCTCTCAGAATGTAACAATTAGGCCTACTTATGCCACAAATCCTCCCATAAAAAACACCTCTAGTGCCTTAAGAAAATACATGCATTGGTAGCATGTCCAAAACTCCCATGTGCTACTCGAATTGTATTGCTCTTAACACTTCAGATATTGAGAAGAAAACTCACACTTTTTGCATTCAATTTTATATATATATATAT